AGCTCCTGGAGGGCTCGGCCTGCGCAGTGCGGCCACCCGAAAGCCCCGTCTGCAGAGTGGCAGGCGGCACAGGCCTCCCAGGGCAGCTCGGTGCCCACCTGCCCAGAGCCATCCTCAGCCCCCCACTGGCCCTGCTCCAGGGGAACCAGGTGTGGTTTCACCCAGCCCAGTGCCTGCCAGGGGAGGCGGCTGGGGCGGTCGCCCTCTGCTGGCCAGTTCCTGTTCCTGCCACCCAGCGGGTGCCCACAGGAGCCAGCCCAGCACCTCCTTCCCGGTTCACAGGCAGAGCCAGGCCTGTGCTCCCTCAGCCGGGGTGGAGCGGAGCTGGCCTGGGAATCGGACGGGCCCGGCCGCGGATGTGTGTGGCCGCCGTTTTCACGAGCCCGGAAGGCTCTGGGCCTCTGTGCAGACAGGGTGCAGGAGTGAGCGCCCCAGAGACAAACAGGCAGAAAGGCTTTGTGAAGGGGCGTGGAGGCCCGGCCCCTTTCCCCTGGCTGCCTGCTGGAGGCGCCCACACCCTCCCGGAGGGCAGGGCCGGGCTCCAGGGCTCCTGCTGTGGGGAGGAGAGACCCGGATGCCGGACCATCAGAGCTGGAGAAGTGCACTTTGTTTTCTTGTGAGGGACCTCGCACTGCCCACAGGTGACGTGCAGCCCTGGCCATGCCACACACAGTCCAAGCTGTCGTCTCTCCTGCAACACACCCTCCCTGGCCTGATCTGACCTCAGTCTCCGGCGTCCTGTCCCCGGCTGGTGAGGGGGCAGTGCCCACGGCGCAGTGAGTGAACGGTGAATGAATGGGTGCGCGAACCCATAACCGCAGAGGCCACCAGGGTCTGCTGTGAGGGACATCATGGGAGGGGCAAGGGCCGGGCTGAGTCCTCCTGCCGCCCTGGGCGCACCTGATCTCGGGGCCTCGTCCCAGCCCTTTCCTTCCTTCTGACTCATCCTGGTGTTTTTAATTAACATATTTTTATTTATTTCAGAGAGGAAGGGAGACACACATAGAGAGAGAGATATTAATGATGAGAGAGAATCATCAATTCGCTGCCTCCTCCACATCCCACCCTGGGGATCAAGCCAGCAACCCAGGCATGTGCCCTGACTGGGAATGAAACCGTGACCTCCTGGTTCATAGGTCAACACTCAACCACTGAGGCACACAGGCCAGGCTAATGTGGTTTTAAGTAAAAAATAAAAATGTACATCATTGGTATTCTGAATGCATACTGATAAAATTAATACTAATAAAATAATAAAAATGTTGAATTTTATTCTTCATCATTATATTGTGTGACACCAGTTTTCAATGCAAAGCTTTGAGCTCACAGGAAGCCTCACCAAGATCCCAGAATGTGTGATCTATAGTTTGCACATGCAAACGCATTCTGTTCTCACCAGAACAATGAAAAGACTGATAGTAAAACAGTTGTAATTGTGGTAAAATACAAGAAACAAAATTTACAGTGAAAGCATTTCTAAGGGTGCAGTTCATTTGCACAAAAGTTCAAATTGTTGTGCAATCATCACCGTCTTCCACTTCCAGAACCTTCTCGTCTTCCCAAACGGAAACCGCCCCAGGAAACACCACCCCTCCCCCTCCCGCAGCCCCTGGCTCCCAGCATTCTCTGCCTCTCTCTGACCTTGACCTCTCCAGGCGCCTCAGCTCAGGGAACCCGCAGTCTGTGTCCTTCTGTGACCGGCTTCTCCCACTGAGCACATCCTCCAGGCTCCTCCAGGTTGTGGCACGTTCAGGATGTCCCTCGTTTTCAAGGCCGAGTAACATTCCTTCCTACAGTGGGACCGCCACTGGCCACTGTTTACCCACCAGTGTCCACGGACACCGGCGTGCCCCCACCTCTGGGCCCCTGTTTACCCACCATCATCCATGGACACGGCATGCCCCCACCTCTGGGCTGTTGTGAATAGTGCTGCTGTGAACACAGGTGTGCAGGGAACTGAGGTTCTGCTTTCGGTCCTTTTGAGTAGAAACCCAGAAGGGAGATTGCTGAGCACAGAGACGGGCAGAGGTGGAGAGAAACAGAAAGGGAGGGAGGGGAAGAGGGAGGAAGACAGAAAGAAACAGACAAAACGGACAGATAGATGGAGAGAGACAGACAGACGGTTGCACTGAGTCAGCGTGACTTTCTCCAAATCCTGTTAGGTAGCCTGGCTGGAAGGTGCTAGGATTTCCAGCTCCGTCGCTCCCTCGATATAAAGGCCTCCCCTGGCCCCCAGGGGGTGGGGGGCAGCGTTCCCAACTGGAATACATCATGTGATGGCAAGTTGTTTGGCCCAAGGACAATAGCCGGGAGAAGCCACGGGGTGTGAACGATCTGTGGTTGAGGTTGGTTTGGGTGGCTGCCAGGGAAATGTAAGTTGCTCTGGCTCAAGATATGCGCTCAGGCTTCTGCACGTGTGGTGTGAACGTGTGTGTGTGCATGCACGGTGTGAACGTGTGTGCATGTGCGTGTGCATGTGGTGTGAACATTCACGCACGTTGCTGTTTGTGGCTTAGAGTGCAGGACCGGTTCTGACTCCACTGCCCTCACCAACATGGGCGCTGACAGATTCCGTTTCTGTAGCAGCGCCTTCCGGTCTCCGCGCGATGTCCTCATCTGTACATCCCCCCCCACCCCCCGCCCGCCTGAGGGAGCTGTGACAGTTTAAGAGGTTGAAACGGCAGCTCAGAGGTCGCTCCAGGGCACAGGCTGGGCCACGGTGGCCAGGACGTGTACAGCCTCTAGGGTCCGCGCTGCAGGGACACCTTGCCAGGCGCTCTGCTCAGAATTAGGGGTCCCCACACTCACAAGTTACAACTTAGCTCCTGGGCCCTCTGCCTCCTGGGCCTCCTTTGCCCCGGCTGCCTGGCCAGGAAGAGGCCGGGCCTAGCTGCACGTAATACATTTCCCACTTCCGCTTAACCTTCCGGTCCACGGGGCTCATTCCCCGGTGTTGGGAGTCACAGCCCCGGGAAAACACCTGGGCTCACCATTGGCCTATCACTTGGTGGCCCGCCCCTCGTTCACGTGCCTACCCTTGCGTGATCACTGGTCCCGCCCCTTGTTCACGTGCCTAGTCTAGCGTGTTCACGTGACCGTTCACGTGACCACTCCCGTGACCTAGGCGTGTTAATGAACCTCCCTGCCCTCCAGGTTTTGAAAAGTGGCAAAACTTCTAGAAAAGACAGAATGGAGGCAGGCGGGCTGAGCTGGCGGGTAGATGCTCTGCGTGTAACACGGACCCCGGCGCGTCCCTGCGACTTGGAGGAGGGCGGCAGGTGCCCTCGCTGTCCCGGTGGTGGTGAGCTACCCACGGGCAGCTCGGTGGCAGCCTCCCCAAAGGCAGCCCTCCCTCCGCCGAGGCTGCTCCGCTCTGCACGAGGACCAGGTCTGCAGGAAGAGGTGGGTTTCCGGGGCGCGGCGGGAAGGCTGGGCACGCGTCCGAGGGGAAGAACGGAGGGCAGGGCCCTGCCCGCCCCTGGTGCCAGGCTCCGGCCGCGGAGAGGACGTAGCGGGGAGGGCGACTGTGATCCCCGCGGAGAACGGACAGCGTCCTGTGCCCACTGCGGGGGGACGGGGAGGGCAAGCCGGAGGGGGTCCTCCCCGTGAGGCCAGGCTGGGTCTTGGGGACACTTGGCCGCAGGCCCTCGCTCTGCTCCCTCGGCTGGGCACTGGCCTCCGGGCGAAGGCGGGCGAGGGCCGCGCCCAGGTCAGCGTGGTCTGGGCTCCGGGGTGTGTGTAACGCTCACGTGGGAAGGACGGGACCGCGTGCCCTTCGGGAACCTCGTCTGTTACCGAAGCCTCCCGCTCCGGGCCTGGGGAGGTGAGCTGCCCAGTATTCCAGCCACCGCAGCTGGCAACTTTCTCTTTTTTCCCTGAAATGGTTTTGCGTGTAATGTCCCCCTCTAGCGGCCAGATTGCTCTTCGCTGCTTTGCAGCTGTGCTACCTGGAGTTGAATTTTTGTAAAGGGTCCGGTGGGTGTGGGGAGGCTGGAGGGCGGGGTAGAAAGGGGTTGCAAACCTTCATTCCACAGGAAAAAACTGTCCTGCGGTGTCTGTCAGTCTCAATCTCTAGATTTTTCGGGAGAAGGTGGAGATGGAGAATGAGCTTAATTTGTTAAATAATACTACATGTTTTAGCTTTCAAAACATCTAACAAACCTCCATAAGTAACATTTTTGCAACATCCTTGCTTTAACAAAGGAACTTAGAGATGCTCTTCCACTAATATATATATATTTTTAAGGATAGATTTTTAAGAAAGTGCTTTTAAGAGAGAGAGGGAAATACCGATGTGAGAGCGCAGCATCCTCACCGCCCACCAGGGATGGAGCCCGCAACCCCGGCATGTGCCCTGAATGGGAATTGAACCATGACCTCCTGGTTTATAGGTCGACCACTGAGCCACGCCGGCCAGGGCAGCCCCTCCAGAAGTTTAAATGGAAACACACCTCCCATCCCCTGCGGTGGTGGCGACGGGCCTGTGGTGTTTCATGTTACCCCCCTGGACGAGCGAGGCTGTCTGGAGTGTTGAATGTTCACTCCAGAAGCTTCCGAGGGTAGCCACGTACACAGAGCAACCCCACAACTGCTTTCCTTTCACGACTCTGGTTGTGTCCACGGGAGCCGCTGTCCTGGCCGTAGTTTTCCCGATGGTGGGATGCTCGGTTCGCAGGTGATAATCGCGCCGCTCTCCCCGATTCCTGTTTAGAAACAGGTGAGAGGTAGGACGCCGGCGGAGGCAGACGGCAACCACCGTCAGCGGTATTCCACCCTGGTCGGCCGTCAAGCAGGGGTGCGCCCAGGGTTCCTTGGGCCGTTGATTTGGTGCTCGCGCTGGAAAACCAAAACGACACGGGGGGAGAGGCTACTGCTCACCCCAAAGCCAGAGGGCAGATCGGGGCACCGGGCGTGTGCCGCAGTGCCTGGCACCCAGCGCTGCGCGTGGCTCCTTTCCAGGGCGATCCTGGGGTCCAGGGCGATCCTGGGGTCCAGGGTGATCCTGGGGTCCAGCCGTCACGCACACGTCCCAGCCCAGCCAGCGGAAGGAGCAGGGGATGAAGGAGAGGCCTCCTTTAAGGACTCGCCATTTTTGCTTAGGCTCGTTACCTAGAACTAACGAGGAAAAGGGCCAGTTTCTAGCTGGGCAGCCATGGGTCCAACTGAAAACAGAATGCCCCCACAGACGGGAGAAGGGGAACCGGTGACCCTGCCACAGTCCCGAGCGAAACTCACCAGCCTGCCTCCTCGGGCGGGCCGCTGCTGGCCAGGTTCCTGGAGGGCTCCCAGGAAGGGCCCCGCCACACGCCGGCTGCTCCTCGCTCTCCCACTGAGAGGCCCCGCGTGTCCCATCCCTACACTTCCCCTTCCGGGCCCGGGGCCGGCTTTTCGGGGGTGCGGTACAGGGACGCGTCATAGGGCAGGAAAGCTGCGCAGGACGCGGAGCCACAATAACAAGGTTTTCTCGGCTTCCCGCCGCCTGGCCTGCCTTCCTCTCCCCCGGCCGAGCGGTTGAGAAACCTTCCCGAATAGTCGTAGGAGAGTTCTTCTCCAGGCGAGATGTCTCTGGCTGCGAACAGCGCCAGCCTGGGCACCATGGAGTCCACGCGGACGGGCACCATGAGCAGGTTGGGCTCACAGGAGTGGTTCAGGAACCTCCCCACGTTCCCCACCCGCGCGGGGTCCACGAACGTCTCCATCACCCGCCCGCCGGCCACGTGCTCCCGGACCGCGATGATGTAGTTGGAGTCGTGTTCCGTTTGCCGCCGAATTCTCCTCTGTGCTTCGGAGAACCCCAGGACCTCGCCGGCGTACTCGCAGACGAACCGGCCTCTGGGGATGGACGCCAGGGTGCGCAGCCCCCAGCCCTTGCCGTCCGTCCTGAACACCTGCAGGGGGCGCTGCAGGCCCCGCTGGACCACGCGGTTCCCGCAGTGCCCCGGGCATGGGCACAGGGCGTTGCACTCGAAGACGGGCCAGGCACACCTCGCGGCCGGCCCCAGGTCCCGGAGGCGCGCATCCTCATCGTAGTTCTCCTGGCGGCGGAGACAGGAGCAGGTGCCAGGCACGCAGGGGCGGGCGAGGCAGGCGCACCCGGGGAAGGTGATCTCCGAGGGGTCGGCGTCGGCTCCGGGCCCGGCCACGTGGTCAGGACTGTACTGCAAAACCGAGACAGGGCAGTCAGCAGGTCACACCCGCATACAGGCACAGGCAGCGAGGCTGAGCTACTTCTCATTCCTACACGTATAAGTCAAAGAAACTAACAAAACACAGCATGTTAAAGTATGTCTGAAACCATAACTCTCCAATTTAAAAAATAATATTGGGGCCCTAGCCAGTTTGGCTCAATGGATAGAGCGTCAGCCTGAGACTGAAGGGTCCTGGGTTCGATTCTGTCAAGGGCACATGCCTTGGTTGCAGGTTCCCTGGCCCTGGTCGGGGTGTGTGCAGGAGGCAACCAATCGATGTGTCTGTCTCACATCGATGTTTTTCTGTCTCTCCTTCTCCCTTCCACTCTCTTTAAAAATCAAGGTGCGTGACCTTGACCAGAATCGAACTCTTCAGTCCATTGGCTGATGCTCTATCCACTGAGCCAAACAAGCTAAGGTGAGAGATCCAAGTGTTTTTTTTTTTTTTTGGACAATAAACTCAAAGAGAAAATTTATTATAAACCATGGTCACCGAAAAAGCCAAAATGGAGGCGGGAGCCAGAATATTGAAGTGCAAACACTCCGCCCTGCTGTTCTCAGGTGCAATGTCTCCCTACTCTGAACTAGGCCTGCATAACAGCATGACTGGGATCCAAGTGGCACAGACTAGGGTTCTCTCGTACTGAATGTGGTCCTGTCTCTTCAACACCTAGGTCTCAAGTTAAGGCGCGGTCCTGAGGTTTGGGGTGCGGCATGGCGAGGTCAGGCTCCTACCCGTAGCCCCGGGCACGGAGCAGGTGCCTCGGAATATTTGATTGCTTGATGGCAGCTTTTAATAACTTCTGATCAGAGGGCTGGCTTTTCTGAGTCCCATTCTGTATCGAAACCTCGGAAAATGAAGTAGGACACTGCACAATTTTCGGGCTTAAAACTCAGGCCTTGGTTCTGAATTCTAAGGAAGTGCCGTGAAAATCTTCATTCCTTTTTTGGTTGGTTCGAAACAGCAGCTACAAGAATCTTAGTACTTGGCCTCTAGCCCCATGAGTTTGTTTTTGCTTCGTAGGAAACTGTGAGCTAGATAATTCTTTTCAAGGGCAAGTTGAGATCTTAAGGATGTTTCAGCCAGAAAAATAGCTAGATCCAACTCTTAGTCAAGAAAATCAATCAAAAATTTTTTCCTACTTAGGTGTCAATATGCTTGTTTCCAATGGGAACACTGGAATGTTCCTTTTTGCCTCTTCACCACAGCACCCCAAAGCTTAACTAGACACAAAGTTATTTTTAACTTGAGTTTTCATGCCTTAACTCCTGTGTGTGCATATGCCGTGAAGGCAGTGCTTGGGGCCGTTTTGGCCTTTTATGATACTGCTTTTTGTGCTCCATGAACATTTGGGAGCAAACTAGTTGAAGGCACTTCTAGGCTTGTCATTTACATATTTCAAGCAGGTTTTATCTATAAACTCCTGGAGAAGTGATCTTTGTTCTGTAGCTCTAACTCTACCCAGAGTTATACTATGGCCAGCCAGCTGGGACAAGGGGGACTGAGTCTGTCTCCTGATTTTCATTCATGCCCACTGACTACAGGTGTAAGGATCAATCACAGGCTCCCTTCCCCCCTCCCCGTTTATAGCAATCAAGTGCTTTCTAGCTGCTCTTGTCAAGTCAAGGGCAGGAATGGTGTGTTGTCACCATTTTATCTTCTATGCCTAACTTAACAGGGCCTGGCTCATTAGAGACACTCAATTATTTGTTGAATAAAGCAAACACCTATCAGTGTTTTTGACCACGCATTCCACAGTGTGTGGTTTTGAGGAAGCTTTAACTGCCAAGGTAGTTTGAGGAAACGTAACCATTCCTGCAGCACAGGAGTCAGCCTCACAAGTAGGACCACGTGGGCCTCTGTCTAGCCCCGCCCCTACCTATAGGGCGCAAGCCCCGCCCCGGTGTCTGCGCGCGCAGCGCCCCGGCCGTGAAGCCCCGCCCCCGGAGGAGGGCGTGGTCCTGGCGCACGACTGAGTCCAAGCCCCGCCCTTACCTGGAAAGGTCCTGGCCTCGCACCCGGCGGCCACACGCTCACAGGCACATTCTCCAGGCCGCACGCGACGTCCAGGGGCTCCGTGGGGGCCTCCGGCTCTCCAGACGCTGCCATCACGCAAAGCTACTTCGCCGGGTCTCGAAGCGCCTGGGCCTAAATGAGCGCGAGCCTCGCAGAGCATGCTGGGGGTCGCGGTCCCGCAAGCCCAATGCCTCATGGGAGATGTAGTGTTTCCCCCTCTCCTGTCACAAATGGCTTGTGAGGGCAAGGTCGCCCTCTGTTTCAAGCCAAATGCATAACAAATGATACAAAACCATGAAGGTTAGTAAGTTTTATGATTTTTAAAAGTTGGTAATTTTTTTAGCACTTTGCCTTTCTGATGTAGCTTCACTAAAGAATGCTTCCCAAAAATAATATGAAAAGAAATTTATATCAAAAGGTAGTAGAAATACAAAATTCCTACTCAGTGGAAAGGATAATGTAGTAATAAGAAATAATAGCCATATTGCACATGATATGTGCCTGATATTGTAAAAAGATAGCAAAATACAAAGTAAATTGGACAGGAAAAATGTCTTTTTAGTAGCTGAAATTTTATGTTGAAGTGTTTGACATGTGGATCATTTTACAATAACAAAAAAAGTAGCAATTGGTTAAAGTAATGTGGGAGTTGTATTTTACAAAATTAAGATCCTGAATCCTTTACATTTCCAGAAATAGTTTGTGTTCTTGTGTTTAACTGCTTGCTACTAAATACATGTTTTCAGCAGAATAAAAATCTTGCGTCTGGTCCTATGTTTTTATCATTGCATTGTGGTTTAGTGAGATCCATAATTTTCCTTGTTCTTATGAACATAGAAGAGTCAAGATTTAATCTCATTCAGAATATTGTTAGTGTAAGTGCTTTAGTTGTCAAGTAAATATTCAGGATTGATGGTCATAGAATAACTTCTAATGGTTTGTAATCAAAGGGGGATTGTTGGTAATGGGCGAAGAGGTGACAGAAGAGAATTATGTATTTCCTTCACCTGAAATGCCACTAGCAAGGAATTAATTCCACTCATCACATACATATGATCAAGTTTATTACCGAATACTGTTACCAAGGCGATGGGAACAAACTTGCTCTGTTTGCAACTCGACCTTGAAAGGCAGTCTTCCACACGTTGTCATTTCCACTTGGGAAAGAAGCATTGCATGTTACCTATAAGGCTACCTAGCACCTATGAACAGCACTTCATGATTTTTAAAAAGTACTAGATATTCCTTCTCCTCATTTATAATAAGGCACATGGGTCAGCCTCTTCCACTTCAAATTTTGAAAGCAAAGGTATGTATCCTTTGAAGTTTAGGGCCACAAATGTCTTGTGCCAGAGAAATCTTGTTTCAGAAAATTTAAACCCCGCTCTGTGCCCGGCCGGTGTGGCTCAGTGGTTGAGTGTCAGCCCTTGAACCAGGAGGTCACAGGTTTAATTCCCAGTCAGAGCACATGCGTGGGTTGCAGACTTGATGCCTCTGTAGGTGAGCGTTGAGGAGTAGCGTGGAGACCGCTGTCTCGCCCACATCAGCTTCCAAGGAGACCTTGGCCAGTGTCTGCCTGCAGCGCCTGACCTCCCAGCCATAGAACTCCTCCCCTTGTGTAGGTTGCTTTCTCTCCAGAGACCTTTCAGAACCCCAGCCTTCTCGGTGGTAAAAAAAGTGGCAAACACACCTGTTCTATCATATTGCTTCCCTTCCTGATAAGGAGATGCCTGGGGCAGCCCGCACTTGGCGGAACAGGTGAGGAGGAGGGAAAGAAAATGCCACTGAACACTTGAAATGCCATTGAGCACTTCCGACACCCTCTAGCAAGGTCCCCAAATCTCCATGGTAATGAAGATGTTCTGTCTCTAAGCTGTTCAGCATGCTGGCCGCCAGCCACATGCGACTATTGATTCCTTGGAATATGGCTAGTATGACGGAAGAACTGACTTTAAAATGTTAATTTATTTAAATTTGATTTAAATCGCCATGTATCGTTAGAGGCTACTGTATTGGGCAGCACATTTTTAGACACTATACTGAACAGCACATCGATTTCTTATTTAATCTTTGCAACAACTCCTCCAAGCACGCACCGTTAGCCTGTTGCTCAAGCTCTGGGAACGAGTGTGCAGGAATTCAGTGAGTTTTTTTCATGTGTCACACGTGTGTGAGGGGCAGAATGGGATTTGGGCCCGCGCTTAGCCACCGCCTTTCTTCCAGCTGCCGAGGAGGAAGTAAAGGGGCACAAATTATGACATTAAAAAAGGCACCCAGGATTTCATCTTGTTTGAAAGTATAGTCACTTATGTAGTGAGGGGCATTACATAACTTGAGAGTTTTATTTTTTTGTTTTTTTTAAAAATCTTTAACAGTCTGTGCCCTTGGGCTTTGAGAAAAACAATCGGGTTAATTAGTCCGCTTCGAAAGAAATTTTTTTCCTTTTTAAAAAAAATTAGTGAAAGAGATTACTGGATGAATATAAATTAGCAATATAAACAAAATTCTTTTCAAAAACATTCTTTATTGTTGAAAGTATTACATGTGCCCTTCTTTCCCCCCATTGACCTCTCTTGAAAGGACAGACTGTGTCCCTGACCCCTCTTCCAAGAAAAAACCACAGAATGTGTCAGTTACCCAGCCCGCCCTTAAATCAGCCAATGGGAATGCAAGGGGAACTAACCCAAGGCCAAGAGTATGCTGACCACCCCTTGTCTTTGTGTAACCAGACCCTAGCCACACCCTGCCTTTGCATCATCAGCCCCTAGCCCTCACCCAACCAATTAGAATGCCCCCACCTCCCGACCCCAAGCCCTATAAAATCTTTGTTCTCTTGGGACTCGGGGCTCTTCGCATGCTGCCGCTGTGTCGGTAGGGGCGGAGAGACGGGGCTCGAGCTTGAATAAAGGCTCTCTTTGCTTTTGCATCGACTCGGCTCCCTGGTGGTCTTTGGGGATCTTAAAATCTGGGCATAACACTCTCAGCCCGCCCCTGCCCCCCAGCCCAGACCTTCACCCCCCTATTGTCCGTGTCCATTGGTTATCTTGATCTCATTGCTGTGTATTGTCTCATGGCCTGGAACAGTCTGTTAGGCTCCTGGGTCTCTTTGCCTTGTGACAATCAGCTGTCATTACTGTAATGACAGTATCTATCATCTATCTATCTATCTTAGGTATACTATATATATAAAGTGTCCCCTCAAAAAATGTATACACCTTCAACAGCTGATAGCGCAATTGATATTTCTTTCTTTTCAGATTTAACCCATTGGAATAAATAATTATACAAAGTGTGTATACGTTTTTTTGGGGACACCCTGAATATCTGAAAGAGAAGGCTGAATAATAGAAATCTATTGCCTATATAATCCTGTCTTCAGGCGTAATAACAATGTAGAGAAAACCAACAATTTATGAACGGCCACAGAAGCAGTTTTTCATTCCTCTCTTCATTCCTTATTATTTTTAATCAGTAAATGGAAGCAACAAACTGCTCCATCCCCGGGTCCTCGGGGGAAGCACAGTATGTGCTGCCTTTGAACCCGAATGTGGGGTTAGAATCTGAGTGCTTGTCTCGAGAAACTGAAGAAGGAAGTTGCGGACAAAAACGGTCAATTTCATTAAAGTTCATTGGGAGCAGCCAGTCCTGGAAAAGGTGTAGCTGAGGGTTTCAGGAGCAGCCAGCGCCGGAGCTTCTTTCCATGACCATCCAAGCTGATGCAAGTCTGTGAGCGCAGGCGTGGAGGCTCCGTGGTCCTAGGCCGCCTGGGTGCCGGGCCCCAGGAACGCGGGTGTAGATAGCCTTGCTAGCTCTTGATTGGTCTTTTCAACGAATTCTGCCTTAGCAACATCCTTGGGATTGGTTTACAGGCCTTCCTGCCTTGGGATTGGTTATCTGCACGCTCCCTGTCTTAGTATTTTAAAGTTCACACCTCTCTCAGGTGTCCTTCCTTCCCCGTCCGTTGGGGTGCCTTAGTAACCACCTCGTTGGGTTCCCCGATTTTATCCACCCCCATAGTCCCTGTCCCCGTCTCCTCACTTTGACCTCCGGAACCTTTCAGCTTCAGGACAGAAGGCCAGAAGGTCATTCTTAGGGGCCAGCAAATGCTCTTTGCAAGAGTGGGAGGGAGTTTCCGGGGTGTTCTAAGGCTCACTGGCCCCCTCGGGGTTCTGCTGTGGTTACACATCGTGACTAAAGCATGACTGATGGGTGGCTGCCTGTCTTGCAGCCCTGGGTCCCCTCCTTCGGCCCTGATTCTAGCGCTAACCCCCCACTCAGAAGTCTCGCCTCGCCTTTCATTCCGCCTCTCCCTTGCCGTCTTAACTTGCAGGGTTTTGAAGTGAACAGTTTTCAGGCCTCTCTGCTTGAGCAAAGTTTCCGCCCCGGAAGGTTAAACCTCAGGTTTGGGATTGACCTGTGGCTCCACTAGGCAAGACTTGACCTTGATTTCCTTTGTTGCAGAGCTTGGATGTGGCCGGCCGCTGCACAGGAACCACTTCTCCTGAGATGAAACCGTGAGTTTTCTCATCCCCTCAGCAATTAATTACGTGCCCCCCGAAATGCAGACTAACCCATGGTAAATTGAGTGGGTTTTGTTATTCGGTAAGTGAGGCGGGAAGCTCGGTGTGTGCTCGGAGACCCCAGATTCTGGAGGTGTTTGCTGCTGGCACTTGTGTCTCAGTGGTCTGGCAGGGCCTGGTCGGGGGAGGCCACCATTTCTACTTCGCTCGGCTCCGAGTCTGGCCCTCTGCTCCGAGTCTGGCTTTCAAACACAAAGGGAAATACAAGGCGAGCCGCCTTGGGGTGACAGCTGGGGAGAAAGAATCTTCTAGTCGACAGTGTCCTTGGAAACCGACCAGGCGGGGAATCACATGTAAGGCGTGGCCTTGACTTCGCGACATCGATGCCTGGGGGGAGTTAGAGTTGTTCGTTGATCCTCATCTAAGGATATCTTCCATCGATTTTTAGAGAGAGTGGAAGGGAGGGAAGGGGGAGAGAGAGAGAGAGAGAAACATTGATGTGAGAGAGAGACACATCAACTGGTTGCCTCCCACAGGTGCCCCAACCAGGGGAGGGGATCACACCCCCAACCCAGCACGTGCCCTTCAGTGGGAACCAAACCAGTGACCATTGGTGTGCAG